TATGTTTGTCTGTTTCGAGAAAGAAAAGTAATTTCTTTTTGCACAAGCTCTGTGAACTCTCCAGAGCCAGGTCTTGGGCTTTTGTGCTGCTAGACAGCTAGCAGGCTTTTACCTGATGAAACATGAAACGGTTTCTCTGACCAAAAGATGCAGGAGTTTGCAATTGTGTCTGGCAACTTCAACATCTGTAAGACGGGATGAAGGAGAAGAACACCGAAGCGTGTTCGGGGGAAGTCTGACTGTGGTTGCACATTGTAGCAGATCATTTGGGCTAAATTACAAGCTCTGATATGACTGCAAGGCTACCCAGTGTATGTGAAGTAGCCCCAAGCAGCAATTTATAAGCTATTTCTGATAAGCAGGGGATAGAGAATAGAGAAAAGACAGGCTGGGAAACCAACTAGAGAAAGTGTCCCAAAGGCAGTAGAAAGGGAGGGAGCCACTAAGGTTTGTCTCTTTCTTATGTCTTTTAAGGTAGGGACCATGGGTCATGGGCTAGGTAAAAGACAGAAAGATAAAAGCAGTGAATCAGATTCTACCATCCTTTTCACAGACGTTTCCCAAATGCACATTCCCTAGTGCTTTGTCATGTCTGAACTTTAAATGCAATAATAGATGGGAAATTGCACTATATCCTTTGGGAAACTGTCCAACAATCCTGAGATGTCTTCTTTTTTTCCTAAAAGGGTAGTCTAAGTGATGATACAGTTTCTCTCTGTAGTCTGTAGATATGTCCACACACACCACAGGTGTTCCTCTCAATCCATGTAGTTTACAGCCTTCAAATATCTCGTGTCTTATGTCATGTCCTAGTTACTCATTAATCAAATTCTTACATTCCTATTTCTTATTAATCAGCTCCTGTGATCAGTTGCAATAAGGCCCTGTGTTGTACATACATACACAGAGATCTGTAAAGACAGCTGTCAGCTCCAAAGTACAGACCTTTTCCTGTTCCCTTTCCCTGTTCCCTAGCTGAAACTCAGCTAGCCACTAGAAGAGGTAATGAGTATTCATCCATCATGCCCCACAAAAATTAAAAGAGATTTTGATTATTTTCTTGTTCTCTGAATGCCTCCTGGTATCCCCTTTTCGGTTTGAGATAGCTAGCGATGACCAACACTTTCCATAAGTTGCACTGCAGCCATTACAGAGAGATCAGCATCTCCTCTCCTTGACCAATGTCACTTTCTGGATTTGTATGTAAAAATAAAAAGACACTAGTAGTTCTATTTCGGCATTACTCTCATTCTACAAGCTTATATTGAGTGTTTGCCTAACCTCACTCTTGGTATTTGTTTCCCAGCTCTTATCACCTACTAAGTATTGTGGATTTTTTTTTTTTTCCTCAGCTGCATTAGTACCTGTTTTTAAATCTCTTAAGCCAATTAGATCCACCATATCATTCTGTAGTAGTAACAGAAAAAATGCATTTTTCTTTAGCAGGATGTGTCACTGATGGAGTCGGAAGAAACCAGTGAGGGAGGTACCACTCCTCCAGAAGCCAGCAGCACCAGTAGGGAAGCCTCGGATTCTGCAGCAGTCGAACAAGAGCATCATGCCCCTCACGCATCAGCTGAAATGAGTACCAGCCTGTCTGACTCTGCAAAGGGAGCAGAGCTCAGCACTCCTGAGGACCGCCTTTCTGCTCCCAGGGAAGCAGCAGAGATGCTGGGCAGACCCTCTAACCTTGTGCAAAAACTGCTAGCAGATCTGGAACAAGAGCAAGGTGATGCAGAGCCTCGAAAGGGACTCTCAGAAGGAGAAAGAGAAATGCTTTTAGAGGAGAGTGGACTGGATTGTTCTTTGAAACTGAAGCAAGTAGAGCTGGTTGACCTGGAAAGCGACCAGGACTCTTCCTCTCTCAGCACAGTCCAGGATGGGCCAGCCCCTGGCAATGCCATCCTGCAGGCTGCGGACCTCAGCATTGAGTTTCCTCAGTGCCAGGCAGAACTGGCTTTTCATGGCTCAGACCCCCAGGTTCAGCATCCGAAATCTTTGACTGATGCTATTTCCTCTCAGAGAGATACACCTAAGTGCTTCTTGGTGTGTAAAACCATTTCAGAGGGGCATTATAAGGCTGAGCCATTTCTGGATAAGGTATCCATGGATTCTTTGCAGGAGGTTGATGCTGGTACAGAGCAGAAGCAAAGCAGCAAAGAAGTGGCATCTGCAACTGATGAGCAGCCTACCTTGGAGGAAGCAGTAGAGGACATGGCTAAACCTTACAATTCTGAAGACGCTAAGGAAAGCATAAGAGCACTCCAGGGTTTGGAAGAGAATACAGATGCTTCCTCTTCCCAGCAATTGTCTTCCACCTTAACAGATGACAGCCAAATAAGTTCACTACAAGCAGAAGGAAACATCTCAGCTGGTGAAACGAGGAGTAGCATCACGGTCAAAGACCAGGGAACAGTAACAGTTCCTAAAGAAAATGCATCCACTTCCAAATGCCTTCATCCTGAAGATGACCACAGAAAAGCAGAGGGCAGACCTGCCTCTCCAGCAGATAGTGCTTTCCAAGTAAAGGATACTGATAAAAAAATTGAGGAGGTGGATACTTCACAGCATAAGGAACCAGCACAGGAGAAGGCAG